GAACAACATATGAAGTATTATACAGTCATAGCACACATAAGGTTTGCAAAATATACTGTGCAAACTCGCTTTGTGTGTCAAAAAGGCAGAAAAATGCTTATTACCACTACACTTGGTACAAGCTAGCGGAAAATGACCCCACACTAAGGATCAAAATATGCCTTTTGAAATACCCTGGGACGTCTTCTTTAACTTGTCACGTCTCTTTTACAGCACTGTAACTTCACAAACTAGTGTCTAGGTCATACATTGGGCATATTGTTTTACTCAGAAGATGTAACTGAGCATAATTTGGGGGTTTTATGACAGTGGTACATAACAAGTGTAAGAAATACTCTGCAAAAATGCAACATGTATGTAAAAATTACATTTCTTTCCCCTCACTAAAAACATTGACATAAATTGGTGAAAAAATTGTGACAAATTAGGGCACAATATATGCCATATAAGATACCCCTGGGTGTCTACTTTATCAAATGGAAACCATTTGTGGGATTATTTGGATACTCACACTGATATAAATACCCCAAAATGAGACATAGGCCCGTCAAGTCCATCTATGAAAATTCTAACTATACTGAAACAGCCTTGTCTCTTATAAGGCATTGTAGCTTCACAGAAAAGTGCCAAAGGCATACAATGGGGGTATCGTTGTACTCAGCAGATGTAGCTGAACACAATTCTGTACAGGGATAGCAAACACTAGCTTTATGAAATGCACAATTCAAAAAACGTATTATATGTGTATATGCCAAAATAGAGAAAAAAACTCAATTTTACTCCAATATTTAGCAGAGATTGGCAATGAAATGGCTACGTAAAAAGTGTTAAAATAACCTTTGGTAAAGAGTCTGTGATGTCTACTTTAAATAAATATATATTTTTGTATGGCAATTTTGTTTTCTGTGATGACTACCAAACCTACAAGACAAACATACCAACTTCTAAAATTGCTTCACATTGAAATTGTATTTTAGTCCTTGTATTTTGTGACTTGTAACTTTCAAAATAAGCGGAAATCCTATGTATATTATGTACTCTATAAATCAAGACATATAAATGAATTTATTTTGAATTACTTTTACTAGCATTTTTTGGCATTTGTTTTATAATTAATGAGAATTCATCTATGGATATGTCACATCAAATTAAAGCCTGTTTTGCCCTCCAAAAAAACAGCATATAATATGTGCTGGTGCAATAAATGACAGAGATACAAATTGCGTTTGAACAGAAACAGCAAAAAATTTAACAATGTCTTGTGTCCGTAAAGGAAAGTCCAGTTTTTGAGGCTGCGTGCTTAAGGGGTTAAAAACCTCAAGTGTTTACATGCTTTTTTGCTTTTTTTTGCAAGTTAATAGGGCTATAAGTACAAGTAGGAAATTGCTGTTTTAAGATATATATTCTTAAAATGTATCAATAGTGACATTGTAACACTGTTATCTGTCATAAATCTCTGATTCACAAATCACATATTTTTTTTAAAGTAGACAACCCAGGGTATTCAATATGGGGTATGTCCAGTCTTTTTTAGTAGTCACTTAGTCACAAACACCTGCCAAAGTTAGCATTCATATTTGTCTGTGTGTTAAAAATGCAAAAAACTATAATGAACGCTAACTTTGTGTTTGTGTTAGTGGCTACTAAAAAAGACTGAACATACCCCATTTGCTATACCTTGGGTTGTCTTCATTTGCAAATGGGATGCCATCATAGGGGGTAATTCTCATTCCTGGGCTACCATACGCTGTCAAAGGCAACATAACCAACTTGGCAAATTTGAATGTAAAAAAAAAGAGGAAAATCAAGCCTTATATTTGACCCTGTAACTTTCAAAAACACTAAAAACCTGTACATGGGGGGTACTGTTCTACTCGGGAGAGTATCACAACAGTTATATCGTCAGTGAAAGTGCCGTTTGTGTGTGAAAAATGCAAAAAAAACTTCACTTTCACTGACAATATCATTGCTGTGATATGTTTTACTGTTTGAAACACTAATACATATATATATATTTACTCTTACTGCTTTGTTAAAACTTTTTTTCATCTTTTTTTTTTACTAGTAGGGGTACTGCCTGTCAGTTCATTCAGGCAGTCCCCCTGCACAGTTGCGTACACACAATCCATGGGGCCCCAGTGCGAAACTGATCAGTGCCCCCCCCAATCCCTCTCCCTGACAGACACACACACACACACACATACATAGAGACAAACACACACACACATACAGACAGATACATACAGACATACATACAAACAGACAGGCACACATACATACATACATACAGACAGACAGACACACACAGACACATACATACAGACCGAAACACACACACAGACACAGACACAGACAGGCACACACATACAAAGACAAATACATACAAACAGACAGGCACACACACATACATACAGACAGACAGACACACATACATACATACAGACACACACAAACACATACAAAGACACATACATACAGACAAGCACACATACAGACAGACACATACATACACATGTTTAAGTCACCCTCCGGTTTCCTACCTTTTAGGTCCAGGAGGGTGGCTTTCCCTGGGGTCCAGTGGTGGCTCAGGTGGATGGGAGTCAGAGTTCCCACTCTGAGTCCTGTTGCTTCTTCCCGCACGGGCTCTGTGTGTTAGCTAGGTGGAGTGACGTGCAGTCACTTCCTCCCAGCATGTGATATCATCACTGGGAACGGCGGTAATCGGGTAAGTAAATATTTCCGTTATGACGGTTTAGGACCGTCAACGATCCTCAAGGGGATGTTTCAGATGACGGTCCTGAACCATCATCTGAAACATCGGTCCTCAAGGTATTAAACTTTATAAAGGGGTTAAGCCTTATAAAGTTTATAAAAACAACAGTTTTAGTAAATTATAGCAGGTAAAAAGGAAAATACATAACTATTAAGAAAATGGGAAAACTGCCAACAATGATTTGGTTCTTAAGTTAGGTTTTTTGATAGAATCTTTCCATCTCTGGACCTATTAACATAGTCATTCTTATTTATTTGAGTTTTTAGAATGCACAGCTTAATGCACAACAGTAACAATTAGAAAGTGGTACATTATTTTATGCATTAGCTCATAGTTGAGTATTGTGCTTTAAGTGAGATTTCTATAACGATATTAACGCGCAAGCATGTTATATAAAGAGATTTTAAGTGTCTCCTCATTCTTGACTGATTTTGATTGTAATTCCTTTAATTTATGAATTTTGTTTCCTGTGAGGTAGTAACGGGACACCCAGTCTAGTGATGATTGATGGGCGAAGAAGCATCTACAGCAATGGAAGTTTTATTATCCGAACAGTGAAAGCGGAGGATTCTGGGTATTATAGCTGTATTGCCACCAACAGCTGGGGATCAGATGAAATAGTATTAAATCTGCAAGTCCAAGGTAAGACATTGTTAAAGAACTTGACTGTTTTGAATAATTTAACCCTTTACCACTGTGACTAACTCAATGAGCTAGACATATGTTTGCTCAGGGGGTGTACCATGTTAGCCTGCACACCATAATGCATGCTAAAATGTCCTCCCTGTGCCCTGTTTTGGTCTCTGTGAGTAATTTTGCATGAGCCTGGGTTCCCTTATTAAGTTCTTGAAAACAGCATCTACATATATACCTTATCACTAAAGCAAATATGTGTATTTTGCATTTTGAATTTCTTTTTTTTTAAACTAGGAAAAAATACCCATCTTCCGTCCAGATAGGCAGTCAGGACTCTCCGTGGATCAAAAAGCTGTTACCCCAAATATTAAATATTATATCCCTCAATAGTAGGCTTTTGCAAGAAACCATCCAATTGCTGTTTAAATATCTGTACAGACTCTGATAAAACCAACTCTTCAGACAGAGAATTCCACATCCTTATTGTTATTACTGTAAAAAATCCTTTCCTTTGCCTTAGAATAAATCTCCTTTCTTCCATTCTAAATGAGTTACCTTGTGTCCTATGTATAGTCCAATTTATAAATAGATTTCCAGACAATGGTTTGTATTGGTCCTGAATATATTTATAAAATGCTATCATATCCCCTCTGATACATAACTTATCAGAATTTTTTGTATTGGGTTTATGATTGTATATTTATATTAAAGGAGTGTAAAAGAGACAAGATCATTTGCTCACACTCCCGGGGTTCACTTATTGGGTGAATTCTCATGATTTTTTAATTTTGGATTATTATTGTAATGCGTTTCATCTCCACTAATTGAAAACATTTTAGTGGGTTGTAAAAACAATACAAGCAGTGCTGTCTCCTGACATCAGTTAACATATAGTAAAAAGGAAACCTCCATCTTTGCCCGACTGGGAAAACGTAAGCACCTTGTTAATTTATTCCGACCCTTTGGTTGGATCCAGTTTGACCGATAGGTCTGGAAAGAGTGAAAAGAGTTGGGAATACAGTGAATTAGCATAAAGGGCCTCAGGTGTTTCCATGTGTAAACGTTACTTCAAATTTATTTAATGTTAGAAATATATATGATTTGAATCTGCCAATAGTCCTTATTGTAAATAAATATGTAAAACCCTATAATTAAAAAGGGATGCTAATTTGTCATTTGTAAAACTGTATGCTTCACAAACTCCCCAGAATGTTATTTTAGTGCCTTGAAATATTAATGTACATGGCAATTATTCCGGGTTTGAAAAAAATATTTTATGTGCATCCAGTGGATAGATTTGGTTGGTTAGGCAAGAGGAGCTGTTAGACTCAATTTTTTCATGAGTTCTAGTAAATTGAGAATCAAATTGTAAAATTGTTTCCAGTTTGGCTATTTGTCCTTAATATTGCCTTCCAGTTATCAATTCATCATAATTCACACCATTATGAAAAGACCCTAGGAGAGTACATTATAGACAGTGGTGATCAGGAAGTATAGATCATGGCTAGTGATGTCCCGAACGGTTCGCCGAACGGTTCGCGAATGGTTTGCCACGGTTCACCACGAACGGTTCGCCGCGGACTCCAGTCAGCAGACATGTTCCAGCCAATCAGCAGCAGACCCTCCCTCCCAGACCCTCCCACCTCCTGGACAGCTCACTAAGAATGCAGCTTCAAAATGGATGCTGTCCAGGCAGTGGGAGGATCTGGGAGGGAGGGTCTGCTGCTGATTGGCTGGAATGTGTCTGCTGACTGGAGTCCGCGGCGAACCGTTCGTGGCGAACCGTGGCGAACCGTTCGCGAACCGTTCAGGACATCACTAATTATGGCATATAGCAACCTGGCATCATCTAATAAACTATAATCACCATGACCTACGACTGAGTTCTACTTCACAAAAAGTCATTGTGGAAAGGGTCACCACTTACATGTGTGTGGATTTTTGGACACTAATAATAAATAACAGAACATAACTACAAAAATCAACCTGACAGCATTCTCTTCTGCTTGTAATAATGTTTTTACAGATTTTCATAAAAAAATTACTTAATAGAACCTACTAAATAAATTCCCTTTAATAACAAACACAACAGGTGGTGATACAGCTGCGTAGAGCTTTGGTCTTCTGCTGAGATCTGTATGTTCCAAATGAACCGTCCCAGGCAAAGTTCTTTGTTGAATATAAAGTTCATATTGAAGATTATTTTGATCTTATTTAATAAATAATTAGATTTTCTTCCTGTCCAATCTTTTTTAATTAATTTTTATTTTGCCAAACCTTGTCCGTGTTTTATTGGTTCATGATAACATTATATTCAATATACATGATTAGAATTGTCTAATGTGATGTTAAAATATATAATCTTTCTACATGTATATATTTACTATTTAATTCCTAATCTAGTACCTCCTGACCAGCCTAGACTAACCGTGTCCAAGACCACTTCCTCATCCATAACCTTGTCCTGGATCCCGGGAGACAATGGAGGAAGTTCTATCAGAGGTAACGTTTGTTGACCTAAACACATTTAGTAACCTTTAGCACACTAAATAGAAAATGTATTCTAGTGTGCTTAGTCCTAAGGAGCAACAGTTCAGAGCCACATCATTTAGGCAATTGTTCGTTTATTTAGGGATTTGCGTGGTCTTCAGCTAAATCATTTGAAATGCCATGCAGTACCCAGTGTGGGTTTGTGAATTGTAGCTGTAGAAAGTGCTGTCCCTGCTTCACGTGCTTCTCAGTCTGTGCCTCTCTTCTTCTCTCTGTAACCTGCACATCCAGGATGTGCTTTTTTTTATAACATAGAGCACCTGTGGAATTGTCCAGAAAGTGTCCTGATATGTAAGACTGTTCCTGCTCAATGCTATAAAATAAAGTGAGTCCATCACTTAGATAAACATGTTATATATCATTAAAGCTTTTCACATTATTGTGGCAGTTAAATGTATATGTATCTATCTATCTTTCTTTATTTCATTATTTCTGTCTGCCTATCTTTAAGTTATGTAACTGTGTGTACATATATTGGATATATATATATATATATATATATATATTTTTTTTTAGTAACCAGCTTCTGATGAAACGGTGGAGGTTATGTTTAAAGATAGTATTGGTTGCTATGGTGATTACTCCATTTTGAAAAGATTGGTGGATATTTATCAAAGTGTTCTGAAAAAAGTGACAGTTAAACTCAGATATAGCTGAAAAGACTCTCAACGAGAACATTTGATTGATGCTGTGCAGTTGTTTGCTGCACATGCACAGTAGCCTCCAAATTCTTCCGTGTGTGGAAGCATTGTATTGACTGAGACTGTCAACATTAACGCTGATTTATTTACAGAAGTCACCATTAAAGTCTTTGGGAATTGTTGTAGGTAAAACATCTGATGAGTTTTTCTAACCAGATTGTGATCGTTTGAAAACCTGATACACACACATTGTCAAGTCCTTTCTTTACCTATGGTTTGGGTTCTCAGAGGGAGCCACTCTGGATTCTCTCTCTTTCTTTAAAGAATTCGGTATGTTCATATGATGTTTGAAACCTATTTTGATACTCTAGCTAGCAGATGGATCAGTAAAAGTCAGTCTCATCATAAAATAAAGCTGGATTTGAGTGAAAAATGTTAACGTTAGCACAAAATATAAAATATGGGTCATGTCTGCTCTTTTCATCTGACCTTCTATGACAGCATAACTTTATGATTACTGCATGTGCACCTGTGACTTTGCAAGGAATAAAGAAAAGCTGCAAAGTGGAGATGAAGTGCGCATATGAAGCAAAAAAAAAAAAAAAAACGGTTAGATAAATCAACAATTTTCTTCCAAGTTTATAAGTGTATTTAGAAGAGAATTGTATGTCCTATAAATGGGTTACTCCAAGCACCATGACCACTTCAGTGATTTGAAGTGGTCATGATTTCTGGAGACTGTAAATGCAGCATTTTGCTAAATTTCCATCTTCGTCATCGTCACTGGAGTGTCATCGGCGAGCTTGAAACTAGAGTTCCGGCATGACTAATGTCAATTTGTGGATATTCCAGTGGACGAAATTGCCATCATTGACTGAGAGTGGTCAGCTGACACTTTTAGCCAATGAATGGCCAGCAGGATCAACATCATAGCTATCCTTATGTTATGCTAATTGGGTTATTTGGATTGGAACTCAACTGCAGCTTGTAGAACTCCTTAATTACAATAGTAAAGAAACGAAGAATCCTTAAAGTATCAATACTGTAGCTTTAAGAAAAGAGAGGATTGCTGGCAATTTGAGAATAAAACAAAGTTTTAATGATTGATAAACTTAAATGAATTGCATATAGGCAATAATCCAATAAGAAGAAAGTGCAGGTTATCCAACAATACAAAGTTCATTAATAAGTATTTCCTCAGAGAAGTTTTTAATAAGATTCTTTAGGTTGCTGGGAATAATCTTCAATAGAAACATTAAGCAGGTAGCAGAGAGTATTTGCAAAGCAAGAAACAGTTAGTAGTAAATAAGCATGATGGGAGTTGTCCTCCATAAAATTAGTAACTTGAAGCAGAGAAGATTTGAGCAAGCAGGAATTGGTTCATTAATAAATGATATTGCAGACAATAGTTGAAAGATATACTTAAGGTTAAGGTGAGTTGTCCTCCAAGAGTTCGGAGTTATAGTCCACTTGTAAATTAGCAAAGTATCCGTTCTCCAGTAATCCTTTATGGCATGCAGCAATCCTTGCATTGGCTCAAAGGCTGGGACGGCTTGTCAGAGCTTGTGGAGCTGGCGTGTATACCCGGAAGTAGGTCCCACAATCACCAAGCGCCTTCTCCCTAAGTACTGTCAGAGCCAGGGCCGGACTGGGGATATGAAGCAGCCCTGGAAAAAAATCTATGCCAGCCCCATAAGTCATTGTGCTATGTAGGGTGTTATATATTAAAGGACCACTATAGTGCCCTGAGGGTGCCCCCACCCTCAGGGTCCCCCTCCCGCCCGGCTCTGGAAGGGGGAAAAGGGGTAAAAACTTACCTTTTTCCAGCGCTCGGGGCGGGGAGCTCTCCTCCTCCAATCCTCCTTCTCTCCTCCCCGTCGGCTGAATGCGCACGCGCGGCAAGAGCTGCGCGCGCATTCAGCCGGTCACATAGGAAAGCATTATCAATGCTTTCCTATGGACGCTGGCGTACGCTCACTGTGAAGATCACAGTGAGAAGCACGCAAGGGCCTCTAGTGGCTGTCAATGAGACAGCCACTAGAGGAAATAGGGGAAGGCTTAACCCATTTTTTCATAAACATAGCAGTTTCTCTGAAACTACTATGTTTATGAAAAAATGGGTTAACCCTAGCTGGACCAGGCACCCAGACCACTTCATTAAGCTGAAGTGATCTGGGTGCCTAGAGTGGTCCTTTAATATATATATTGATACATTTCTTCTTCTAATTCAAAATATTAGTCCTTTCAGGGTAATTAAATTATACAGTAAAGCATACTCACACACAGACACAGACAATCTTACTGATGCACACAAATAGGCTCATTGACAGACAATCTCAATGACACAGACAAGGTTAGTGGCAGACACACAAATTTAGTACAGACAAACTCTGATACACACACAAGCTTACTACAGACAAGCTCACTGTCACACACATGCTCACTACAGACAAGCTCACTGATGCGCACACACTCTCCCTACAGACAAGCCCATTGACACACACATGCTCCCTACAGAAGAGCTCACTAACACAGATTCACTACAGACAAGCTCACTGACACACACATGCTCACTACAGACAAGCTCACTGACACACATGCCAGTGGTGTATCCTGGTTTTGTGCTGCCCTAGGCAGGACAAAACTCAGGCGCCCCCTCCCCCCGCGCCACCCCCACCCAACCCTCACCCCGCCCCACCTTCTAAATACGCACACACAGTCAGACACAAACACACACACACACAGTCAGACACATACACAGTCAGACACAAACACACACACAGTCAGAGACACACACAGTCAGACACAAACACACACACAGTCAGACACACACACAGTCAGACACATACACAGACAAACACAGTCAGACACAAAACACACACACAGTCAGACACACACACACACAGTCAGACACACACACACACACAGTCAGACACAAACACACACACAGTCAGACACAAACACACACACAGTCAGACACAAACACACACACAGTCACACACACAGACACAAACACACACACTCACAAACACAGTCAGACACATACACACACACACAGACACACACACTCACAAACACAGTCAGACACATACACACACACACACAGTCAGACACATACACAGACACAAACAGTCAGATACAAACACACACACAGTCACACACACACAAACACAGTCAGACACAAACACACACACACTCACAAACACAGTCAGACACAAACACACACACATTAACTTTTTTTTTTAATTTAAATCCCCCCCCAACCTCCTTACCTTTGGGAGTGCTGGGGGGGGGTCTCTATCCCTGGTGGTCCGGTGGCTGCAGGTCAGGCGGGCGGCTGGCGAGGGAGCACTTCCTATGAGCTGACTGCTCAGCTCCCTCGCGCGCCGGCTGCAGAGTGAGGCTGGGAGCCGGAAGATGATGTCATCTTCCGGCTCCCAGCCTCACTCTGCGGCGCGCGAGGGAGCTGAGCAGAGAGCTCATAGGAAGTGCTCCCTCGCCAGCCGCCTGCCTGCCATCGCCGCCCGCTCGGGATGTCAGTTAGCCGCGAGGCTAAC